AAGTTAAACAATCACGATTTGATAGATAGTTCTATCGCGTAGTACAAACACAAGTAGTTAATTCTATGGTTTGATCAAAATGTAGATAAACGAATGAAGTTTTTACTCACAATTAGTCTGTGTTAGCTAATGAAAAGACATGGTGAGTAACAGTGAAGGAAAATCGGGGAAAGTGTATAGTTACGATGAAGCTGTAGATTTGACGGGTGAGTTTTTCTCCATTCGATTGTATTTTTGTTAAACGATTGCTCCGGTATTTGGGAAACGATTTCGATTATATCAGTAGTGGTCTCATTAAAATTGATAGAAAATATTCTATCTCTAAGGATGGCAAGTTAGGGGATGAATCCGGTTTATTGGATTTCACTTATTTTCCGTTAACCTCTTTCAATATAACTTGGCAAATAGATCTAATTCAATAAACTTATGAGGTCAGTTTTATTTAAAAAAGAATTGTAATAATAATGTTAAGTTATAAATATAAGAGAACACACCATACTACATTATAGAAATATATACGTAATTTATTTTAGTTTAAACGCGACACACACGTCCGGTACTCACTCGGTTTTAGGGTCCACTGAAAATCAGCGTCACAGCCTTGTCCCGGCGGTGACATTAGCTGAGTGGATCCTATTACATACGCCACAGCCGCACACATAACATCTACTTCCAGTTTTATGATCGAATAATTATTTATTGCCAAAATTTTATTTTTAATTAATTTTATTTAGTTTTCTTTTTTGTTATTCATTTTCTGTTTGTTTTAATTTAGTTTGTTTTAAGTTTAATTTAGTTCTGTTTTATTTTAATTTTTTTTTTTACTTTTAATTTTTTACTGTTTATTATTGTGTTGTGGTGTTTTGTAATAAATGTATTCTATTTCTATTTCTATTTCTATTTCTATTTCTATAAGTGAGAGTTGTTTTTTTAACCGGGAAGTAATTACCGCCAACTATACTTACGTAGTAACTGTAAAGTAATCTGTGTATAGACACAACCGGTCGTTTCATTACGATTTTCAATCTTCTGCGCTTGTGATACTGTGCTTACTCCGCCTACCATTCAATCTACGAACTGCCTCCGTGGGTTACCCTGCTGAACTGCCACGCACGGGTTCGATTCCCTGGCCCAAAAAATATTAGTATGGCCTACATTTATTTCTATCCTTTGGGTGTAATTTGTGGTTGTCTATATGTGTGTCCGTGGCACCCACGATGCAGGGTTTCCCTAGTACTGGGCCATGAGTGTGTGCGTTCATAAAAAAATCTATCCTAAAGACGCCTGGACATAATTTATCATCATCATCAATTTATACGTCCCAATACTGGGCAGGGGTCTCTTCATTACAGGCGAGGGTTTTGGCTATAGTTCGCCACTCTGGCCCAATGAGGGTTGGGATTTCACACGTTTTCCGAGGGTTTTGAACCTACTTCGCATGCTCATACTTACTTCGCTGGTCCAGCGATTCGAGGTGGATCTTGGCCCCCGGCACTAAAGTACGCGAAAGTATTTCTGTCGGTCTTGTGCCAATTCTGACCATTTCGGGCACATTCCGTTCCTTTAGGTTCTGGGTCGTGTGTGGGTGGTCGGTACCACAAACACCCAGATCGTCGTTTCCGATTTCCATAACACAAGTGCTATAGCTACTTACTTTGGGATCAGAGCAACGTATTTATTTATTTATATTTAGGTCTTTGGCGACTTCATCCTTCCAGCGATATCTTGGACGGCTCACTGGACGATGACCCGTAGGTTGCCCCAAATACGCTCTTTTGGTAGCTCGATCCTCTCCCATTCTTTCCACATGTCGTAGCCAGCGAAGTCGAGCAGGTTTTATTTCCCCGACTATGTTCGGCGCAGACACTAGTTCTTCTATCTCTCTATTGAATCTTGCCCTCGAAGTATCTTCCGTTCTGCCACTAATAATTTATGTTCTTCCTTCAGCGTTAGTATTGGCGAGTGGACTGTATAAATGTATGCACTATGATGGAAACACCTTATATGCAGATTAAAACACGTTTAATTTTAAAAATTGCATACTAAACCGAACAAGGCAGCGTAGCGGAAGCAACTGCCGAAATTTTGCTAAACAAAAACAGTCGAAAAGTATGTTATAAATCGAATGTAGGGGAGAGTGGGGAACGTTGCGATTTTCAAATAAGTTTAAATTTTTTACTGAAAATGAAGGATTTGATGTTCAACATGTGGAAATACTGAATAAATGTTTATCGCTTTTTGTAATAGTGTAGTCACTTTTACTAATATCTCAATAGTCTTTTTCATGGAGGCAAATTTGTGACAAATTTCGGAGCGGAACATTCAGCCCCTCTTTGGGGCGCGTTGTTCCGCCTTTGAGGCAAATTGTTCCGTCTAAATTATGACAGGATAACAAGGATTTTCTTAAATAAAACCACCTTTTTTATAATTGTATGTATGTAATGTTTATACTAACTAACTACTAACTTAAAAAAAAACTACATTCGTATTGTTCAGTAATATTATTCATAGCTCATTTCTTCATTTGAATCACAGTTGAGACATACATATGTGACTCTATCATCCTGTCTAAATATTTGACATGAGCTCGTTTGTAGTTTCGCATCCTTAAACAAAGAAATATGGTCATAAGAATTTTAAGTATGATTGCAGGTCAATTGGGGAAGTTGTTCCTAGGAACAACCAGCTCCTCGAGGGAGGAACTTATAGCCCTTAATTACGTTTTTAGACGAAGACTGACATACCGGCAAAGTAATAGAATCAATTAATAAAAAATATTCAAACAATAAGATTCCTTACTAATTGCACTACAATTTAGAAAAGTTACAACAAAACAAAGACAGACCAAAAAATTTAAACAAGAAAAAATGTAGGTACTTACGTGATGCTTTGACAGCTCCACGCACATTGCTAGACTTCCGTCGTCGCCGGAGTAACTGAAATGGCTGTCAGCAATGCGCATCGCTGGACGCTTTAACGACGTGCTTCACATGTGTTGCTATATATTTTTCTTGCAAAGTTATTGCTGTGAGAACAACTTACCCCGGGAACTACCAGCCCCGGTCTCATGTAAATAAAAAAAAAGAAGTACAAAAACGAAGAAGGCTGCGTTACAGCTGATCGCCAACAGTTAGTGTCCATAATTCACAATAATATATTAAGATTGGTTACTGTTTTGTAGACACGAACCTTTGTAGTCCTGCCTAATAACTTGGACACCTACACTGTGTGAAGGGCTGCTGTACATCGTAACACGTTTACTATGTCAATGCTGAATTCATTCTCGATTTGTGTCTGTAATAGTGCATCCCAGGTACTTAAATTTGTCGACGCCCTTATAAGTAAAGTAGTAAAATCCAAATTGTTACGAAACCGACAGAAAAGTATAAATGATCCTCGTCGTAAAATTCAAATGAAATTTCGCACATAAATTCCAATCATGCCAATTTACCCTTAACGTCTTACTATTGTCAATATCATTATAATGTTGTATCATTGGGATCCGATTCTGGTGACCTGGTACAGGTCAAAGCTGGTTTAGGCACGTTCCTTAGATTAATTGTAAAATCTGTTGTTAAGGTGGAAAAGAACAATAAATTATTTGTGTTTTGTATGACTGTACTGCTTTGTAACATAGCCATGTTAACTAACTGCTAAGCCGGAGGAAAGACGGAACTTATTAGATCCAACAATCCAATTTTTTCCATATAATTTAAGAGTGAGAATATGAGTCTATACAATCTCAAATGGCTTTGGTCCATTGCTCATAACAGCGAAGTGTACTTTGGAAAACATATGTAGTAAAATTGAGGATATGCACTGATTACTATATATACGGAGAAAAAACACGATTCCTCAAACATTTTCACAGTAGAAAAAAAACACGAAATTTTACAAGAAAACCGATGTACTCAAGGTACTTTACATATACCAATGATTTTTATTTTACAACTCAACTGAACTAAATAGAATAAGTATAGTATAAGATATAGGTACATTTTTGAAATGGCATCATTTCGTTTGAAAAAAAATTAATTCTGAAATAAAGCCAGTGTCCCGGCCGCTCGACCCAAGCAAAATGACCCGTATCGAGTCTTAGTATTTAAGGTTTTACCAAGAAATGTATTTTAGCTTATTCTCTAATCCTAGTGTAAACCTTTCTTCGACAAATAGAATGTTAGAACTCTTTCAGGACACGGCAGGTACAATTACCTGCTGCTCGCAGCAACTAGCGTGTTGTTGGTTGGCGTATCGCTGGACGTTTTTGGCTTCAGCGTCGTCGTGGCCGCTGGCGCCTGTGATCTGGATCTTGCGTTGACGCAGGTTGGCGTGCTTGCGTCTGTGCCCTTCGCAGGTTGGTATTGTTGTCTCCAATAAGGTCAGTTCATAATTTTCTAAGTCATATAAATCGCGAAGTGCGATGTGATTACAGTACCCTTTCATTTCTTGGTACTAGACTACTACACCTTTTTTGGGATACCAGGTGACGGGACGAACAGTTCGTGCGCCTGGTGATACAGACCACAGAGCTGGAAATCACAATCTGAATAGTACTGCCACTGCGTCCCTCGCTTTGAGATATAAGTTGACAAGTCCCATGTGCCTGTAATTTCACCAATACCCTTACCCTTCAAAAACCGGAAAGCAGTAATGCTCACATTACTGTTTTGCGGCAGAAATAAGTAAGGTGACAGTACTTTTACCTTTTTTTACGCGGGTAATTCCTTCATGGATACCTTCCGTCTGTATCCCCAGGCGGAAGGTATCCATGAAGGAAAGGTATAATGTGCGACTCCTACTCACTAAAACTCCGCGGAACTCGTCTCTGTCAAATGTCTGTCATCTGTGGCAGTTTTTGGCATAATAGAGCGCATCATGGAGACCCAAGTCGAGAGCCATACAAACTTAGTCGGATCATCTTGTGTAACAGCGACCCCTCTGACGATTACCATCGTTCCGTCCAGTAACCATTAGCTGTTCTAGGTTGTGCCCTTCTTTCCTGGCAACGTGACCAAAGAAATCAAGCATCGTACGGTGATACGAAGTGGATAGTCTAAGGTGGTTAATTCAGAAAATGAGTCCAACGGACTCCCAACATTTTCCCCCAGCACCACATTTCGAAAGCATCAATGCGGTTCACGGACCACGTTCCGCCTTTTTTAGTGTCCACGTTTCCGCTCCTCAGTTAAAAATGGATAACGCCAAAGAGTTCACCAAACTCATTGTGGTTTTACGCGCGATGTAGTCCTAATAGCCGTGGTAGCCTATTGCCTCTCAAGCAGACGGTCCTGGGCTCGAATCCGGGCTCGCACTTCTGAGTTTCTCGGAATTTATGTGCGAAATATAATTTGAAATTTATCGTGAACTTTTCGGTGAAGGAAAACATTGTTATGAAATCTGCACGTCGAGAAAGGTTCACAACCGTCGGAAAACGTGTGAAGTCCCTAACCGGCATTGGGCCAGTTAGGGACTATGGCCTAAACCCTCGTCTGAAAGGAGACCCGTGCCCAGCAGTGGGACGTATACATGGGTTGATGGTGGTGGTGGTTATGGTCCATCCATATTATCTGTAGTTGGGCCATAGCACCTTCACCCATAGAGGAGTGTAGATAGCCCTCAAACTTAGCAACTTGTCTAAATCACCTTACAGGCGTCTTCTGCGCCTTTCCATGGGGTTTCTACGCGGACACACGTGGGCGTCTACGAGCTCTCTTGCTTTCCGGATCTGTGGGATTCCTCATGGCGGCTCTCAGCAGTTTGTCCCCGAACTGGCAGGTCCTCTTGGTATTAAAATTGTTCGGCTGCTTCTTGTAAGTTAATTGCAATATTACTAATACAATAATGCTTTTCGAACTTTGTATTAACCGATCAGAAGCTCAAGAAGACTGATACTCTCCGTAATATATGTCGTAACTCTGAAAAAGGTCAAAATTCCTGTAAATCTAGAAGGCGCTGATCAATGACCTGGAAGTAGTTTATATTATGTAAATGGCATGGATATCAATAAAAAATATAATTATTTTTTGAACTTTAACAAATCGACTCATTCATAGAACAAAGACCTATGTGCAAGACTGCTTATTCTCAGGACATTGTATGTACATTTCTTGCGCCACCGGCCGATCGACCGTTGATCGATTTTATATTTCCCAAACGAAATAATAGATAAAATTCTAAAAACACCTACAGCTAGGCAATAAGGCCTAATAACGAGATTATGTAATTATCCTGTTTTCGTTGTATAATCACATCGGACTCCATTCTTCGGATGAGTCGAAATATGCGTGTCTATAGATGGCATTGTGCTACAAACCTATTTATAAATTAATGCTTCCTAATATGGGTAGATGGAGCTAATCCTAAACAAAGCTAAAGAATAGTCTTCACTATCCATAAACATCTGAGCAATAACCGCCATCTAGTTGATTTGTTTGTTATCACTAGAAATTAGACTAGCTTTGATAAATTGCAGCTAAGGAAATGAAACTATTTTTCCCAATTTAAATCGCGTATATTCGTTTTTTCAAACAAACCAACGTTTCGGGCCCTTTACAGGTCCCATGGTCCCGGTTGAAAAATGTTTCGTTTCCTATGTGTAACAATCGCGAAAATCTAAGAACTCGATCAATTACAGCTTGTTAATGTAAAACAAATTAGTTGCAAAAATAGCTATTTGGTGCGCGACATCTGACGTACCAATGTGTTCCTTTTGAGTCATTGGTCCATGGTCTTAATAAAATATTAGCAAACTATCGAGTTCGAGCTCGAGTTCGAGATAATAGCTCCATCATTGTAGTAATTTTTTTAAAATGTTGTTTCCAGAATCATTACGTAAATGCGCCCGACGAGATTTTAAACTATAAACAGCAACATTTGTGATCGACTGATTGTGGCCAGGTCCAACTTAAACCATATCAGATTCATTTATCCTTTGTTGGTTAATTCTTGTTTAATCATTATCTCTTTCCCAGTTTTTTGCCTTTATAACATTCACAGACATTTCCATGGTCTCTTGTTTTAAAATTGTATCACAGCATTTTGCAGTCGCACAATCACTAACCGATAAGTGCTAAGTCACAACAATAAAGCAAATGTTTGGATTGCTCGCAGCTCAACGGCTTCTATGACCTTGACGATGACATACCTAGGCGAGTGCACTATCAGCTCTGTGAGGAATCGTTACTTCTTGTATATATCTGCCTTCAACTTCAGCAGTGAGTGTATTTTCTACCGTGAGTATAAAAACATTGTACGCATTTAAGTTACGGTTTTTAAGTAGCAGTAGAGCTCCTTCTGGAAGAGTTCGTTCAGGGAAGTATTGGCAACTCGCCGTGGGATTTCAATGCCGAGGTACAACGGTATTGGCGGCGCAAGGAGGCGACAGACCGTATGGCCATCTCCATCCACTGGAGATCGAGCGATGTAGAAAAGAGACTAGGGAAGAAATCCTACGGAAGTGGACAGGACGATTGGGAGTCCTGGGAGCTAGCCGGGAACTGGTGGCTGCAATTTGGCCCATCCTTAATGAATGGTTCTATTGTAAACACAGAGTGCCGATTTACCACCTGATTCAGCCCCTTACTGGGCACGGATGCTTCAGCAAGTTCCTGTGCGAAGTGCTAGGTAGGGAGCCGTCAACGGCATGCCAACATTGTGGAGGTACCGCGGACAACGCGCAACATACCCACGAAGAGTTAGAACAGAAGAGTAGGTTTAGGCGGAGCCTATGCAGTCCGCGGTCGTTGGGGCAGACCTATCGCAACCAGCCTTGGTGAAAGCCATGATTGAAAGCGAAGAGGCCGGTCGCTACCTTCAGTGATGCCGTTATGGCGCTGAGGGAAGCGGGAAGCCGATGTCAACTCGCTTCCGCGCCAGGGTTCCGTGCTGGACGGTGTCTCTGGTGTTCCGGGGCATCTAAAGCGGATAATGCAGTGGCATCGCCAACTCCAGTGGAGGGCCCGCAAGGGCAATCGAAATAAAGAACCGCGTTTCCCGGGACCTTGTGTCTGCGTCGTGAGGAATACCTCAGGGGAGTCCGAATCATAATGGATTTCCCGTGAGAAAAAAAGAAAGTATTGCCTCCTTACATATTTCTGCCGCCAAGCAGTAGTGTGACCATTACCGCGTTCCGGTTTTGAAGGGTAAGGGTGCTGGTTAAATTACAGGCACATGGGGTTTGTCGCAGAGTGTCGGGCGCTGTGGCAGTGCCCCTCAGATCTTTACAGAACGGCCGAACAGTTAACATGCAGGAGAAATATTTGTATGATCTATATTTATTTCTCTCCTGAGTTTGGGTGTAATTTGAGCACCCGCGATACAGGGTTTCCCTAGTGCGCGGCTATGAGTGTGTGCGTTATTGTTATTATTATTTATTTGTGTTCGATCTTTGTGTTAATAATTATTTATTGGGATTTTAGTGTTAGCGTACTTCATTCTACCTCTGAGCTTCAGGATAGAAATACCTTTCCTCTCGATTACCTATCGTTCGTGGCGATTGTACACCTTTATTCTCGCAATACCTCTTGGACTGGGGGCCTTAATGCTGCTGCTGTTACACGAGAGCCCAAAGTTCCTGGCCAGTCGAGGAGATACTGAACAGGCCCTTAAAGTACTGCGGGCCATGTATAAAGCTAATGGAGGAAACGAAGTAGACTATCCGGTACGGTTAAGTAAATATATTATTAACGTATAAGTGTACAAGCTATAAATATTTAATATTGAACACACGTCCGTTTCATTTTATATTCGGCTTTGAAGTCAATGTTTGGAGTCTACTGAAAACCAGTGTCACAGCCATTGACTTACAAATAAATGGACGACGGGTCTAATACAAAAACCACGAAAAAAATGTCCCAAGTCAACCTATTTAAACGTAGTGACATATAAAGGATAATGAAAAAGCTAAAACGTTGAATTTAAATTGTAATGTCATCGCAGTACTGTCTAATGTTGCTTGCTTCGCTGTCAGTCGAACAAACGAAGACTAAAGCGTGAATGACGCTCTGTATACGATTTTAACGCCCTATAAGTTCGGACATTTTTTAGCGCGGACCCGACGTCCATATAATTGTAAGTCAATGGTCACAGCCTAATTTTTTAGTAGTTCTTAGAGTAGATCTTTTTGAAGATGACGCAGTCGCTCTTAGGATAGTATTTCAAATTTGGTTGATTATTTATAATTTGATATGTTTGCTTCGGTATTATTCTTTCCATTCATTTGGATTTTGTTCACTTTTGATATTTTTTATTCTTTCTTTTTGTATTTTTGTTGTGTGTGTTTCGTTTATTTCTGGAATTAGAACGTCTTGACTTGTTACTTTTATCAGCGTCATTTGTCAATTAAACTACTACTATTGAAAGAACTTTTTCTTTTGCTTTTACCTTGCTAAGTTTTGTACTTGGACTTGTCTTTTCTTGGAACCTTATCACTAAGTACCGGTTCCTCAGGTCCAGTTCCCTGCAGGGTTGCGTATACAATACGCACCCCAAAGATAAGTGAGTTTGGCTCGCTTTCCTACGGGACTAAACAACGAAATATCGTACACTGTATGTTCCCTTGAAACGATGAATAAGATACGCATTTCCAGCAACCGTTTTAGTTTAAACGATTAAAAAGCTGTATTAATACATCTACTAGGGAATGAATTAGATCCAGCTTTTCACAAAAAACGCTTGTAAGAACGCGTCTCCGTTTCGTCACGTTCCTATAGAATAAGATAATTATTAGGCGCTGCGCAGATGGAGCAATTTTGATCACCGAGTATCGGCAACTGGCAAGCCGCAACTAGCTGTTTATGACGTTTTTCATATAATTTCAACTGCGCAGACGTAGCAACTTCAGTTGAGGATTTCGGCAATCGACTACAGTTTTCGATTGTCGAAATCCGTGATTAAATAAATTCTTAATTGCCGCAACTAGAAACTTGCAAATTTGTACCGGTCACCGTAAATCGTGAAGCAACTTTACTCCCTCCCCGTCTCACGAAGCGTCAATCTTTTTATTTGTTATAAGCGGCAACCTTTAATAGAAACTTGTAAAATGTTGCCAGTTGCGTCAAGTAAAGTTGCTCCATCTGCGGAGCGCCTTAAAGTTAAAAGGTATTGGGGTCAGTGTGGCGGACTATGGCCTAAACCCTCGCCTGAGAGGACCCGTACCCAGCAGTGGGCCGTACAAAAGGGTTGATGATACTGGTGATGAAAAGGTATCCGATAGCAAAATTAATTATTCGTCACATGCGAGATACCCAAGATACAGTCTTTATCAATAGAAGATACTCGCAATCACATCGAGGCTTGAAAATAATAATTATTAGAAACCATAAAAATTATCACCCCAACTAATATCAAATGTAATAATAGTAAAGAGCACAAATTGAAAATACCTTCATTAAAACTATGTATATTTACATTTCTGGCCCGTATTAATAAAATTCCCAACCTTGATTAGGTTAAAAGACAAAATTAAGCTATTCGATAAACAACTAAAAAACAAAGGCACTTAGAAAAGCGTATCTAACTCATCTTTCCTTGGGGGAGTATTGTATGCTACCCGGTTCTCCGGTATCGGCTCAATTCTATAGGAGTGAAATAAAGTGAACTTGTTTTCAGGTGAAATTGTTAGCCAACGACAATGTGGAAGCCACTTCAGAAATATCATTGTGGAAGTCCTTAGTGAAGCAGACTGTGCCTTTGTTCAAGCCTCCACTACTTTGGAGGACGCTCCAGCTGTTCTATCTCATGGCTCTTAGTTGCAGCAAGTAAATATAAAACACAATTTATGCACATCTGATATAGATGTATAGGATTCAGTGTTTCAGTGCTCTGGGCAATCTTATCAAAAGATACTTAATTAAGTGACTACGTTTTAGATGTAATGTAGTCACTTGTAATTTGGGCTTTTATCTCGGGAATGTCGGTCTCGAAAATTTCGAGAGTCTCGACAATATGTTGAAGTATTTCATATCTACTTCAACAAACTCTTCAAATTTATAAAAACTCGCTCATAGATTTTTTTCCGCAGCAACAATCTCTTTCTAATGTGGTATCCTGTGATTGTGAACCAATTCTTCAAGTCCTTCGAAACTCCAGGGCTTGAAGACAGGAGCTTTTGCGATAGAGTTGTAGCTAATCTTACCAATCCAACAGACTCTGTGGATGTAAGTAAACAAGATACAATAACTGTAACCCTACAATCGGATAAAATGATTTTCAAATATATTGTTAGGGTCTTAACCTGGCGCCAATGACTTGAAAATAATTACGCCGATGAACAACGGATCATCGTGACCCGAATTTTTTCTATAATTGTTTTCTTTAATTAAGATCATCATCAAACTTAAGAGTTATACTCTATTGGCGGTGGAGCCTCTTCCAGTCGTCTCTCCTACAAGCCAGCTCCTTGACCTCCTTATACGACACGAGATCGGCCATTTCCTTTATTTGGTCTTTGTAACTGCGCCTAGGTCGATCTCTTCCCCTCTTCCCCTCGATCTTTCCCTCCAAAATGATCTTAAAGAAGTTATCGTGTCGTATCAAATGCCCATTCATTTTCCCGCGTCTACACTCTATAGTATTCAGGATCGTTCTTTTCTCTATTACTATTCTCAATACTTCCTCATTGGTTTTCTTTTCTATCCAACTTATAACCTTCATCCTACTCCAGCACCACATCTCAAAAGCTTCTAATTTTTCCCTATCGCTTTGTGTCAACACTGACATGGAAACCCATGTTTCACATACATTTATGGATTACATTTACATTACATTTATGGATTACACTTTACTTTACTTTCTTTTTCTTTTTACTTTTTTTTCGCACGAGTTACTTGGCTGCGCAGACAGCGTCACACTTAGAACATCAGCGAATCGGGCAGAGGAGGGTTGTATCTTCAGCTAGTCAAACGTTGAAATCCTGCTATCGGAGTAAAACAAAATATAAAATAAATTGCCTAGGGTCAATTTGACCCAACGTCATTGGCGCCGGGTTAAAGGAACATAAAACAAAAAATTGACTGTGTTACAATAGGGCTGGCATATTCGTCATCCAATTACAAAGCTTGGTTTGCAAAAACAATATAAAGTAGATGATCGACCGTCTCTGATGGCTGTCGGTAAGGCGAGTGCCATTGCGCCGCCGCTGCCTCTCATAGTGATGTCACGTTAGGCCGTGTCGTCCTCCCGCGCATCTATGGATTTACTCCCATTTTTCGTTCGATATTTTGTCCGAGACAATTACTGTCAAATACACCACTCAAACCAGGGGGTTGAGTTGTGTGTTGGTTGGTATATGTCAGGATATTAAACCCAAAAATAACTTTTTTTACAGTACGTCTGCGATGATACAATTTCAACAAACACCACCTTCGCTGGCATATTTCTCGGTATCATATTTGGTGTCTTGGGCCTGGCTATAGCCCCCCTAGCACGTTGGCGACGACTCCTCCTCATCGGGATTTATGCTTCCGCTGCCATCTGCCTATGTTTGACCAATGTCCTGAGACAGCCTGTCTTGAATATAATTGTGTTCACTTTTATTCAGGACACTGCACTTTGTATTGGACTTGTCTCTTCTTATTTTGTGGATTTGTATCCTACAACTCATCGGTAAGTGGTGTACGGTCATTGACCTACAGGAGGCCTACCATAACCTTTCCAAAAACAATCTTATTTCAATGTAAGCTTATTATAATATTAAAGTAATGTATTATTGCAAAAGTGATTGAATGAACGAATAATTTCTCAATATTGTCTATTCCTTACTAAAAATAGGAAAGATATAACGCTATCTCCTTCTTTTTTAATGTTCCGAATCGACTTATCGTAGTATAAAGTTTGAGTACTCAATGTTAATTGCATTCAGAGAATTTTGACTGTTTTCAATAATTATTCCGCATTTTCATGAAGAAAAGTAAATAAAACAATCTGAGTCTTGATAGTTACGTTGTGAATTCGGAACTATAGTCTAGTGTCAACTGTTAGTTTCGCCAAGGAGCATAAAGATGGCGCTGTTATGATTTTACGAAATAAACATCGCGAATTTTTATTTAACGAAAAATTATTTGCTATGTGCTAATAAATAAAAACTAAACAAAATATTGAAGAGATATATGTAAATAAATAAGTTCAACATAATTTTTAATATTTTAAGATTGCTAAATTTGACATAAGATCAATATTACTTTAATGTTAA